GATGAAATGATTTCATAGTCTTCGCAGTCATCGAGCTTCACGTTGTTACACTTTTTATTAAAAAAGATTCGAGCAAGTGTTTATAAAGAAAGAGTTGAAGATCTGGATGATTCAAAATCGAAGATTACGAAAAATATTGAAATAACTCAATAGAAAACGTTACATATTGTTTTATCGTACTGGAAAATGCTTCAGGTTGGTCTTGAAGTCGATAGTAATGATTTCCAGCATCATTCTTAAACTTTATCTTTGTGAATAAAAGCTTGGTAGTCCCCTTTACCATCAAAAAAAGATCGGCTAATTGGCTGGAATACAGTGGAGATAAACGATTTTCTTTCTGGTAGGTTATTTCTGAGACATTCTGTTTATAAATGTTAAATATGGCACATGAATGTGTAATTGCCAATATATGATATTCCAGAATCAAACATTCCGCACTCGCTGAGTGCGGCTATTTGAATATGATATTTTTCCAGTTGATCTACAATTAATTCTTTCTTTGCACGTTGGAAACACGATCGAACGTTCCATCCAGCAAAAAGAACTGGCTTATGTGTATTTACACATTGTATTTGATCTTTTTCGTTCGTCATGAAGAGTTTTTTGTCCTGTAGATAGGGGGCTAGCCTAAGAACAAGACAGAGTGGCTACCGACAGCCCAGGGGCGCCTCCCTCTGTTAACATGAACATTGGGACCCTGTAGCTATTGGAAATAGTTCCGGCAGGCGTGTTTACCTAAGACATATAGATACGTATTGCAAAAGAGTGCCGCTTATATTGTGCTTGTATTTTTGCTACTAAATAGTTCGATAGTTGAATATCTGAATTGAATATAGGAGTACTCAGATATCTAAAATATATTTGAAAAATACATTCTAGAAAATGAATTTTAATTGTGTCTTCTAGCTCATGCAATAAGAAAATTATAAGCTTCAAAATGTGCCTCAGAAAAAAAAATTAATCGTGAGTCTCGTTTAACAAAAAAAGGAAATAGTTAAGGAAGCGTACGTGAAGCATTCAGTTCACTCGCCAATTCACTTTGAAGCAATTAGATAATAATTAATGTTAGACGCTAAATACATTTTGTATCGAGAAATAGTTTTGTTGACTCGTTCTTTCTTTGAAGAAAATTAATTCTACTTGAATAACAGTCAACACTACTGATGAATTATTTTTCGCCTTTCATCGTTTTAGATATATTTCTCTTTTTACTACTTTTATCATATTAAAGAGAGAACAAATCAACGAAAATATTTCTCTGGAGAAGGCGTGTTTGGCGTCTAACTTTACTATGTAATGACTTCCAATTGATTTTGCAAATAACTGAATGCTTCACCTTCGGTTACTTGACTATTGTCTTTTTTTTTGGTTATGAGAAACTTACGATTAATTTTAATTTTTTTTCTTACTACATGAGCTAGCAGAGTCAATTAAAAGTCATTTTGTAGTGTGTATTTTACTATATTTTTTCAATGTGGAAAGACTTCATAATCATGAATTTCATGAAAGATTGACAACTCTTTATATTAATATTCAATCGAAAAAAATAATCACAAATACATATTTTAATCCTTTTTTTCACGGTCAGAAATTACAAACAGTTGACAATATGAAAATAAAAAGAAAGAACATGATCTCTTTGAATTGTTCGGCGATGATGTGCTCCAAAAACTTCAATAATAGATCTTTCCTTTTATAAGTGTTTTTATTTGTGTGAACTCTACCGAAGTATACAAATCAAATATCAACAAGAACCGATTTTGAACTCGGATACTTAATCAAATTAAGCAATATTAGTGTTGTGTTTTTCAAATTTTCGAAAAAAAATTTAGATATAAATTTAGTCCGTAATCGTATTCAACTACGACATGTAAAAACTCATCATGCAAATAATTCTTTTCAACTTTTTATTAATCATCAAGTTCAAGCTTTTCATCTAATTTTCATCATAATTTTCACATGCTTATGTAAATAACAATTTTTATCTTTTACTTATCTTATTGTGAATTCATTTCTGTTATGAACAGAAGGGTAGTTGATAGAGGTTTATAATACACATGTTTCATATTTTGAACGATTGTTATTATTCATTGAAAATGAACTTGCAAGTGATCAAGACAAATGGTAAACTTGACGGTCTTGATAACGACTGCCGACAATTGTTTGTTAGGTTTTCTGTTATTTTGTACATCTAATTCTATAAAATTAAAATGTATCACTTATTGTGTATGATTATATCAAACAGATTTTTATAATTCAATGCTTCAGATACAGTATAGCAAATCTTAAAGCAACTCAATCTTAAAATAAATACTTTTCAAATAAATATTATTCTATCTTAGTTATTCTGATAGTTGTTTAGACAGTTGTGAGAATAATGAAATACAGAGTGTTTGAAAAGTCGCTTCCCATTTCAGATCCATTATTATTTTCAATCAATAAAAAATATCGTGACGATTGTTTTTTGATTGTTTTGAAGCATGTGTCATAGCATATCGTTGTAGATGAAACAGGACGATTGATCATTTGACTGTCTAAGATTTCTGTTTTTAAAAATTAATTATAAAGATTCACAAGATTAACGAAATGGTATACGTACAAAGTTTGACTACGGTCAGTATGCTATGCATTTTACTACAACAGAAAGACTCTATGACGCAGTCTAATTATATTTTAAATATATTCATGGATAGTTTTACAGATCATATAAATCTTTTTAAATACTATCATCGATAAAAAGAACACATGCGATAATTTGCGTCATCTGTAAATAGATACGCATTAAGTGATCGAAATGTTTATTAATTCTTACGATTACATTTATTTAGTAGTTTTTCCGTCTATACATAAGTTAGAGTCTTATAATAATGAATATGATACAGGAATTGAATATAGTGAATTCAGTTTTTAAATAATTCACTGATTATTTGAAAAAAAAACAAACTTCATTGTTCTTTTGCGTATGCTTCTGAAAGGTGTACTAGTACTGTCGTTTTTTGTTCAAAATCAAGTAATCGTTTCATAAAGACTCCTTGTTATCGATCCTGTACCTTTTTTTAATTCGAAGATACCCATTGGTATTACCTACGTAGTAATGTATTGTAAGCTATCCTCATTCATCTAACCAATCGCTTGCAATAAGTCGCATGGAACATCATTAGGAGTTTACTACTTCACAGTTGAACCAATCCACCGTTGATTGAAATAAGACTTATCGAAGCGTGAAGTTATCGCAGATGAAATAATCACTTTATTTTCTTTTTATCTGTAGATTCTTGCTTTTTTGCCCAGAAAAATCTGTTGTTAATCATGTTTCGAAAGGTGTGAAGTAGATTAGACTAATAGCTTACCGAGAAAGATTCGATTGAACTTTATTTTTCTTTTAAAGTTTTTCAAAATTGGAATATTTCATGAAACAAAATGAGAAGATTTCAAGTCTCATCCCAAGGGAGAGGCAGAAATAATTGACGTCGCGGGATGAATTTTCTTGTCCAATTTCACCCCACACATAATTCTAATTCGTAAACTTGAAATTTTCAATTTTTCATTAAAACAACGAACGCTGATACCACCATAAACAGACAGTAGATAATGTTTTGAGAAAAAAAAAATTAGAATAGAGAATCTTTTTCACCTGCTCCCTAGAAACTAAAAAAGGACTACCTGACAATTATGAATAATTCCTGTTTTCGTATGAATTTTTCTTTCTTTTTTTAGAATAGATTTGTACAGAACTCAAAACTTTCATAATTTTTAGACACATAAACAGAATTTCATTCTTGCGAGCCATTTTTCTGCTAAGAAACGATGTGTGCAACGAAAAACTGTAATGATTTTTTTCAGATAATTCAAAAGAATTTTTTATCAATGATATTAGAACAATATTTGTTTGCATCAATGAGCTATTAAATATTGTTGATGAATAGGGTGTGGGTGTGGGTGTGTGTATGGGTGGGTGGGTGTGGATGTGGGTGTGAGTGCGGTTGTGAATGCAGAGGAGGCTGAAATCCACACCCACACCCACACCCACGTGGTTCTTGATGTGTAAGCACTTTACATTTCTATATTTTTAAAAAATATATACATTATTTTTTTTTGAAGAATAGTTTCAATTTAATAACTACATACAAAACCACTAGTACATAAAACATCTTCAACAATATCAGCGACAAATGATGCACAGTTTAAACTGCCTGAAGAAACAGATCATTTATTATGTTTAACTTTCACTTATTAATCATTTTTATACCTTTATCTTTAGGAACAGAAATAAATTTAATAATAAGACATTCGCGTTCAATGATATAATCTGAATAAATATCTACTAGATATCTTATATACGTACTAAATGTTCAAAACATGCAAACATTAGGTTCTTATGCATGTTGTTCAAGATGATCAGCTTCACGATTGAATAAAAACTATGTAATAATAATTAATTTCAAATGTCTTCTATATCATATTATACTTACTTTCCAGAATATTTTTTGAATAAATACAAGCATTCAAGTAAGACGTACTTCACGTTTATCTTTTGCAAAACGTAAAAAGTATAAATCAAGTATTCGAATTCCAACATGATTACCCAAATCAGCTAGTCTATAGTCTTGGTACTGTATTTGAATTTTACTAGCAGAATATTAGTTTACTTAGTTTGAAGATCATATATATTATCAACACGATTTTGTGAATATTGGACCATTTCGGAAAATAATAAAGCAAATGCACTCAAATTGACCTTAAGAAGAGAAGAAGATACTCTTATCAATAATTTCTTTCTTTCACATATATAATTTACATCTCCTCTGTTTTTGTAAAGATCGATCCAGAGTCGATGATTTTAAAATGTGTAGATGACTGCATAGTAACTTTAATATTATCTAATTAAATATCAAATTATAAATAGAATAGAAAAAAAACCTTAGATAATAATACTTTAATTGATTAATTTTTATATTTAATACTCAGTAATATCTATGCATTGTTTGTAATCAAACCAACATTTAGCAAACATAAAGATGTTGTGCTGGTAGGTTATAATAGCAAATCGTAAATCACTATGTTTAACAGAAGTCAGTATAAATTAGATCTTCATAAAAATAGAATAAGACTGTATTTTTTTGAATAAACAGGTAGAAAAATGATGTGACGACGATCGCATCAGAACTTACTAACAATCGATTGCTTATGAATTATGTTGTATGATTTTATAAAATCGTACTAAAATCTTATTCTAGGAAAAATATTTATCGGACTATAAAATACTACTGTCAGTTTTTCTTGATTCTTACTTTAAGATCATAAATTTAGATTCCACTCATACAATTAGTTTTAATATTAGTAGGTTTGTAAATTTAAATAAATATTTAAGCGGTTCAATATGTTTTAATTTAAAAGCTACTATTTGAGTGTTAAAAATATATCTTTGATGTATTAGTACTGACCTGTTAAATGTTCACTCTATAGATCATTTAATGAAATTGATTAAATAGAAATGGGTTTCCTTTGTTTAAATTGTTTGTTTTAGTTCATTTAGATGATGGATTCAACGAAAGTAACATTTTTATTTCGGATTACTTTATTTTAGATGATTTTAACAATGAAATTCAATCAATATAAGGTTTTTCCAGTTTTAAAGACATTTGTATTCCTGATGTACATTCACAAAATACAAAACAAACAAAATTATGTCAACGATCAAAAATTTTTAAGAATTCAATAAACTGAACATAAGACTTTTGAAAATACACAATTATTGCTTGTGAATTTTGATTTTCTTTTATACTTTCATAGGCGTGAAAGAATACGGTGAATGCATTTCTGTACTCCGTCATAAGTTCTTCACTGAGTTCCTGTCGGGAATTCCAGGGGACTCTTTTTGTTTCTGTCTTACTCCCTAGGGATATTTTCGGAAAGTTTGTCTTTTCGAATTTTTATCTAAAATTTTGCGTGTATAGAGAATTTGACTGAGGAAAGTTTCGTTTAAAAATTCACAAGTTTTGAACAAAGTCTCTTCAAGATATGAGATTTTCTAGATATAGACCCTTTTGCCATAAATAATGTATACAATATACTTTTTTTAGAATGTTTATAGTTCGAATAGACTTTGTTCAAAGCTTGTGAATTTTTTTGCTTAAGGTAGTCTAGTTGAGTTCTCTATATGTGCAAAGCTTCAGATCAAATTTCGAAAATATAATTCTTCTCAAAATCTAGAGCCTCTACTGTGTGCAGTAGCTGAGGGAGAATATATTGTTGAAATCAGAAGGAGACATTCTCGAAGGTTCCCTTGTTAGCAATGACAATTATCAGATTTTCTTACATGAGCTAGAAAAAGATGAATTCTTATTATACTACAGATATTATTTAAGTTAGTTTTGTATCTTGATGTTTCCTTTTTTTTCAAAGGAAAGATAATTTCAAAATTTCTTTACTGTTCTTTTCGTCTATTCATAAATCTTCAATAAGTTGACCACAAGACAATCAAGTTTTGACTCGATTCACATTCTTCTTTCTTTTACATGCAACGTTCACGAATGCCTTTTTTCATAGGTTCTTCACTTTTCATTAATGATATCCATAAAGCTTCTTTATCATGTGTTAAATCTTGAAAACAATTTCCAGTTCGTGTTATAACATCAAAGAGTACATTCGGTTATTGATCTAATGCAGTTTCAACAGTTAAACGGATAAGATGATCAACATAAAATTTATAATCACTTCAACATGTTCTACGATCACGTGAAAGTGTATGAAGTTCTCGTAGTTGATTATTTGTTTTCGTAATATATACATTTTCAGGAAGCTGACTGTCATATATATTTCTTCAATCGTAACCTTGTCTTCTCTTGAAAGATTGTCAACTAAACAAATGCTATTATTTTCTACTGTAGTCATCTTAAAAGAATTCTAATAAAAATAAATAAATGAATTTTCAATTTACTCATAACGATCAATTTTAGAAGAAATTTCTTATTTTCTCAGTTGCTCACTGATTGTTATAACAATATTTCGACTTCTAGCATGATTTCTATTTTTACATAAATATATTCCTTTCCAAGTACCAAAAGCAAAACGTTCTGATGTTATAGGAATATTAATTCATGAAGCAAGTAATGAACATATTGCATGTGCTGATATATCAACATTACCCTTATCTAAATATTCAAAAGAATTATCTTTTAGCACAAGTTTATTAGATATTGTTTCGAAATCAACACATATATTAGGTACAGCATTTTCAATAATCAATAATGATGCACCTGTATGTTGAATAGATATCTTCATTAAACCAAAGTCAGTTAGTTTTACTTCAGGTATTTATTGTAAACTTTCATTTCTTACTAAATGAAAACCACGTTGTGGATGTCAATGTGGGGTGTGGCTGTTGCTGTATCAATGTGGGCAAAGAAAAGGTTCACACGAGAACCCACATTCACACACTCTGCTTTCAATTGTGTTCGATCAAATCCGTTCACTGATCCTCTTCGGTGATGATGATACACCTTGACAAATCGAACGATTCTATACTCAAGGTTTCAGAGTTCATCAATTCATTCATTCGAAATAATTTTCATTGTATTCACTCGAGAATTATCAATCAAGGATAAAATTATGTCAAAATTGTCTCATTTATCTAATTTCACTTGTCATAAATTCGAACACTGTGACTTTGCCGAAAACAAGAAGAACGGCCTTATCTTGATTAACAAAATTTGAAGTCTTCCTAATGTCACTTGTTATTTTTGTAAGATTTTTTTCTATGATATTGTTTTTGTCCATATTGTAGGGCCAATGATGGTCTCATAAGCAATGAAATATTTGTCTATCGTGGTCTTGATTATTATGGTTGTGAAATGGCACGTCTCATTGAAAACACACCTAATTTTCAACATACAGTAAGTGCCAAAATCATTCTACCAGGTTTACTTTTGAATATTTTCCCACTATGTTGAATGATAGAAATAATTCAAATAGTGATTCTGAAAGAGCAATCTATTTCCAATCAGAATACAAGTGAATAAAATTCATAAGTAGTTTTCTTTAGGCAGCATCTCCAAAAAACCCAAAACCTAGTGTTTCAGCAGCCACAACCTGCAAAAATTATTTAGTTTCGACTGGATAGAACGATACAGAAAACAATTCTCTACAAAAATGAGACATCTCCGAGCGGTGTGCGTTGTTTTTTGCCTAAGATACAGCAGCTCAATGGAAGCCTCTGAACCTGTTTTTTTTACCGTTTTCGATGAAAATCATTTTTTTTGCCAACAATCAAGTTGAGTGTGAATGCGTGTGTTGGAGTGTGGGCTGTGGTTGTGCGTCTTACCTTCACACATCCACACCCTATCAATCTATCAAAATACTAGATTATCACCTCGTTCATCTTATTCTCTTATTCGTTCAATCGATCTTCAATCTCTTCCAATAATTTATAAATGCTTATCATCATTTTCTTTTCATTCAAATCAATCTATTCAGTCATCATCATTATCGTCATCGTCAAATTTCTTTTATCATATGTATACGCCAAGAAAAAATTTTTCTAAAAGTCAACCAAGTTTACCTGATTATTATATACAAATTTAAAATGTTAATGATAAGTTTAGTTTTGAAGAAATTTATAAGGAACAACAAAGAGAGAAAATTTAACAGATATTGTTCATAATGGTAATATTTATTATTATTTATTTAAATTATAATAGGTTTAGTTATTGTTAATTGGTTTCGAAAAAATTATGATAAATCTCTTTATCATGCTATTCCACATCAATATACACAAGGATAACGAAGAGCTCGTGACAGATGTCATGAAGAATTATTGAATTTTCTACAAACAAAATATGCAACAAAACTTTCTGATCATTCAATAGCTGAAAGAATTTACCAATCAACAGCCGTTGAATTATTAGATGGTCTTCATAAAAAAAAAAATGATTTTACTTATACACAACTTATACTTGTTTTTTCTCTTCAAGCAGTGCAAATTGGACAAGAAATAAATTGTACTATTGAAGAAATTTTTTTATCAAGCAATTGAATATGTTGAGAGATTAGATGAAAATCAAAATAATCAAACAGATATTTTACTTAAAGGTACACTAATTAGTATAAAAGATCAAATTAATCAAAAGTATGTAGATTCATCAATGGGTATGACTATGAGAAATTTTCGATCAGCATTAAAAGATAAACTTATTATTCAATTTATTAAACAGCAAGATACACTTGCTGTTTTTGTACGTACAGCAACTATACAAAGCATGATGTTACCTGATATTGGAGGTGAAAATTGTAGAGTAGCAGTTAATCCTTTCGATCGAACACATACAAGAGGTGGTAGTTCTGGTAAATAAATTGTTAAAAAAAAAAACGCTTATCAACATTCGAAACTGCTTTTCTAGATGATTAAGGTGTTTTAATATCTTCTCGCGAGTGTCCAATAGGTATTGGTCGAGATATTGGTGGAAGTATACGTATTGTTGCATATTTTTGTAGTGTATTTGGTTTTAAACCAACACCAGGATGTCTTACAGGTAAAGATTTAGCTGTTCCAAGTCTTAAAAATGAAATGAGTGAGAAACGGAGGGTAATAAATATTCGTTCAATTGTTGGTCCATTAGCTCGATGCACTGATGATAATGTTCTAATTATGCGTTCATTTTTACAAGCAAATATCTGGTATAATGAGCCAAAATTAACCAGACAACCATGATGAGATGAATGTTTTACTTATAAAAAAGATTAACAATCGACTTTTATACCAATGATAATTGATTTCCATCTGGCCCAGCTTGTATATGAGCAGTTAATGAAACTACCGAAGCTCTTCGTAAACTTGCTCATACAGTTATTCTATATACACCAATTAATATACCAAACGCTATAAATCTTTTTATTGGAATCATTGAAACTTATGGTAGTCGCCAATTTCTTGAATCGTTAGACAATGAAGCAATAAATCCACTTTATATGCCATTATTTCAAGCTACAACACTTCCAAATTTTCCACGTTTATTTATGGCTTGTTTAATGCGTATATTTGGTGAACGATGTAATGTTCATATTGTTCAATCAATTCATTCCAAAACTACCTATGAATATTTTCATTTAGTTAGTGATTTGAAAATAATATATTAAAAAATTGTTCAATGATTCGAGAAAAAATAATATCAATATTCTTACTTTAACGAAAAAAACAAGAGTTTATTTAACAAAAAACCACGAAAATCTTTATCTTTTAATCGACAATAGTTACTGGTTTACTAGCATTTCAGCGTGATCAATCTAGTGATTTATTTCATTCATATAGTTATACAATTCTTTTTAATGTTCTGCATTTACCAGCCGATATTGTACGGATAACATTCGTTCAAGACGATGAATGGTATTATGAGAACATTGGTCATTTAAATAATGACATAGTAGTATCGATAGCTAAATATGTGCGTCGACAATCGGCCGATTAAGCTGTTGGTATTCAATTTGTTAATTTTATACATGAATTTATTTTACTAGACACAACAATCATCAGCAACCAATAGGTTGCCTATAATTACATTTTAGCTGTCTCACATTTCTATCCATATCAAACAGGACATCATTCCATGAATTTTATTGATATTATATCACATATTTATACTTAAAATATTGGAAATTGCTAAATTTGCTGTACAAGAAAAAAAGAAACGTGAAATTTATCAATACAATACTTCGCGTTTACTCATCCGACAGAATCTACTTACATAGTACCGAAAATATGATGATCACTCTTTTTAAAAATTTAATTCGTTGTATAAATATTATATATCCAATTCTCTAGTTTTAAATGTTTCATTATTATTGATAAAATGTTAAGCAAGTGTCATTATTCATTCTTCTATGTTTTTACTGAATAGCATGTTCATGATATAGCGTCATCTTTACATGGACATTTTAGATTAAAAGAATGAATCAACCAATACGCTTTTCTCCTTTCTTCATTATTAATTGGTGAAGTATATATATCCTAAAGAAAGAAATACTTAAAACGAAAATTTTTATCAAAATTTGAAACTCTCAATAATTCATAATCAGTTATTGATCCTGACATGTTTAAAGTAATTGTGATTTGTTGGAGAACTAAGTAAAAAGGGATTTTATATTCTAGCTAACACTCGATCGATTTTCGTCAGGTTTGGCTATTGTTTATCCATTTATAAATGATATCATTGAACGTGCGTTAGTTATTATCAATCACGATCAGTTTCAACAGCAGGTTCTAAATGAACTGTGTGCTCAAGTTGTTAAAAGTCGTACAAAAGATTGTAATGAATTACAACAATTTGTTAAAGAACGTTGTACTCAACTGAAATTACAAGTTTGTGTCGATACAATAAAAGTGCCTAATGTTCTTATGCAATGTGCTGTATTCAAGTACAATGAAAGTCAACCATGTCAAATATTCATTAGTCAGTTGGTGAGTAGAAAAAACTACCTCTCTTCATACAATGCTATTCATCTTTGTTGCAGTGGTATAAATACATCTTGGAAATCGAACCACACATTGAAGAATATAAATTTCATGTTGCTCTTGGCGTCATCAAACTGATCCATGAAGTTTGTCACTGTTGTACGACCATTTTCTGCGAATTTGCATGTCTGATTAACAAGGAAAATAAACCGTAAGCTCTTTTTTTAAATAAGGAACACTCATATATCTTGCTTTTTTGTAGGATCAAAGTCACACCATCAAAGATTGGACGTAAGATTGTTGTGAAGTCTCCTAATGACAAACCTTCATCATCTAAACGCAAACGTGATGAATTGAATTGACACATGTGAAAATTTGTCGAACAGTAGGCTGTTGACGATGACATAAGAAGAAACTTAACTAAATCACTATTGTCCAAAACACAACATGATTGTGCTGAGATTTATTTATCTCTCTATAGATGCTCACTTTCTATGTGTTCGAATTCATTTATTATTTGAATCTGACGTTGTGAAAATATTTTTGATGTAAAGATCATAGTGTATTCTCTTTTATTGTAGGTATCTTGAAAACAAGAACAAGCAACAAATCAACAAAAGAAATTGGTGATATGGGATATGGTGGCGAAGAAATTCTTTTAGGTGGTCGATTATTTCCTATATTAGACAATTCAAGTGATAAAGATTTCAAGGTATATCATTGATGCTTATTGATGTAAAAGATCTTGTTGTTTTGTTTCAGATCATCGGGTTGCGTCTAGATGTACATGAAAAATCGTCGATTGCATCCAGTAAATATACTGTTGATTTAAATTTTATTGATACATTGTTTGATATCGATAAGCTGAAAGGTAAATATTAGTAGATGAGTAGTTATGGTTGCAATTGTCTATTCATTAATTCTAGCAATCAATGATCTTAGTCAACTGACAATTAAATTGGATAATCCACTTGAAGCTAATCGACAAACAAAAACTATATGTCATACTGGTCCAATTCGTTCAAAACGTCCAAAACTTCGACGAGCTGATTCAGATTCATCATTGTGTTAGTATTCTTAGTTTACATAAGGTGTAATTAAAAGTTTTGCTTATCTCTACTAGTGTCGACTAGCCTCAGCAGTAGCACCTCTATTGATTCGGAGGATTTACATAACATCGATCCAAATGATCCAAATGTCATGTATCCACCATACTATTTGCCTCCTCCAGGTTTCATTCCCCGTTCTCCAAACTCGATAACGTCGGAAGATGATGATGATGACACAGAAGTACGTATTAATGGTATGCCACCGAATCGCCGAGGTAAGTCTCTTATTTATCATTCTTATTTTTATGTCATTTTGATATTGTAGAGTAGTGCGACTTATGATCTTTCCATAATACTTTATGAACAATATGTATATAACAATTAATAAAAATTTCAACATGATCTCGATTTTTTCTTGATACAGCAAATTATTGAATAAAGCCCCATAAATTAGTAAAAACTACATAATCGTAAATAATTAAGTTGTATGATTATTGTTGATTTGCATTGTTATGACACATACATTATGATTTTCTATAAGAAAAAGTTGTTCAAGGTATTTTCTCTATATGTTCGTTTTCTTTTGTTCTGTCAAATATTTTTTGTGTTTTGTTATGTTTATTGACTTTCTTTATAGTTTCGATATGATAACTCATGTATTTTTTTCAAAGCTATTATGTTATATATTTTGGTAAATTCCACTTTGCTTCTAATATCTGATATAAATACTAATTGTTTGTAAGTAAAGAGGAGTGTGATCAAAGAAAACATAATAAAACACGTGCACACATCAACATTATTATCAGACACAACGTGCATCATCATTTGATATATTATTGATTAAACTTATGCTAATATTGATTCATCATATGATTATGGAAGTATAGTATTTATGTTAGCATTTAATAAATTATGTGGAAGTGAAAATAGTTTTGAATAACTATCATACTTTATTTAGATAATTATTTGTAATCAAATTATCATTTTATTTTCATCAAAATGTACTATGGACAAATGTTGCTAATACTGTTAAAACAAATACTTGTCTTAATATATCTGTTAGTACATCTGAATAGAAGAAAAGATTTGTTCTACAACTTGTCTAAAACTTTAAAAAAAATTGTTTTTCTTATATTTTAAAACTATCTTAATTTTTTACTTTTGATATTTTGTGTTTCAGGTGCAATTTATGGTATAATAGTAATAGTTAATACTATCTTGTTTAACTTGTTGTAATTGAACAAATATTGAAGTTTGTTTTATTAAAATACGTGTTACAAAATATGTTCAAGAATCAAATCAATATTAATAACGTGCGTATAATGGAACATATAATAATCGAGTAATATTAACAGTTAATACTCCAACAACTTTTCATGTTTTATCAATATATGATCCATTCCAAGTTATTTTTTTCCATAAGAAAACAAACTTTGTTGAACATTAAATAATGTTGAATTCGTTGATAGATTTTTGTTAATATAAATAATGATGCTAACCTTCGATTTATACGAACAAAAACAGTAACTTATGTACTTGAATATGATTGTTATAACTGAGATAATAAATAAACTATTTGCATTGAAGAATATTTTGATGATAAAATATTTGTTGAAGAAATTCGATTGGTTGTTCTTAATGAAATAATATTCGATCGATTTTTAACTGAATATCGAGTATGAACGTTTTCAACAACATTAATTAATTCACTTAAATATAATATTGATGTTGACATTACGTGAAATTTATCAAAAGACTTTGATTGAGCAAGTAATATTATGAATAATTGAAACGATACGAGTTGTATGTATATAACAGTTGATTGAACTGAATGATGAAATTCTAAATTTACTTTTGTTTTGTTTTAAAGAGAGTATTATTAATTCTTATTTTTCTTATCTTATCCTTAGCTTTCGCAGAAGAAAAAACAAAGAAAAGAATCTAAGATTCAATTCTCTTTCGAAATAAAAAATCATCAAAAAAGAAGAACAATAGAATTTAAGACGCAAACTGTATTTAAATAAAATATAAACGAATTTGAATTAAAAATGTAATATAAATGTTGATAATTGAACGAGAAAAAAAATTCTACATGTGTGTTTTCTAATTTCTTTTTATATTTTAACGAAAATAAAAGAAAATGAATTATTAGAGAGATTACAAATTTTTGCAAAACTTTGTCAGCTATTTCAATAAACTTTGAACATTGACAGGCACTTGGAATTGAAACAAAAGTAAATTAGTCTGCAAAAACTTCAACATACCAAATAATATTCAATATTGAATGATAGTAGTAGCATGGTACTATTCATTCTAGGGTGTGGGTGTGGGTGGGTGTGGTGTAGTGTGGGTGTGGGTGTTGCTAAAGAGAAGATTTACATACACATCCACACCACACCACACCACACACACACCTACACCCATACCCACACCCAAGCCCACACCCATACCCGCCACCACCCATACCTCACCCGCACCCGCCATCACCCACACCCACACGCACACCCTTTTCGAGCTCTTTCAAACAGGATGTAATTTGAAATGGTCATATACTGAATGGCCCACTACAAGATGCCGGACGGTAATAGGCGATCGACTTGGAAAGATGTTCTTTTGGAAAATCCAACATGTCAACACGGAAAGGTTGAAAGTTACCAAAGCAAAATTGCCAGAAGGATGACTTCTAATGAGACATTTAATAGGCGGGGGGAGATTGGAAAGTAATTTTTAACCCCTTTATGCTGTTCTAGCTGTATGTTTGGCTTTTTATGGATGCTCTCTCTAGTTAAGATCTCTAGGACCTTTTAGCCAAACGACTCAGCCACAAAATCAGACATCGATAGAGACGACTACAGCAAGTAACCAGTAGAAACAGATGCTTCCTATCTAACGTCTTGACCTCCACTTATGCACGCAAATTGTCGCAACAAGTGACGATCCGTGACAATTACATTCTTCGCCAGATGTACGTGTCTTCCGTCCAGTCCCACAGAACAATCGACCCCAACAGAACGATTTGTTCGTTTTCGATGTTGCGAAAGAATGTCATTCGATGATGACTCTACGGGAGCGACTCAATATAACGATAATACAACAACGGCTTGATCTCGCACAAAGTAAAATTGAAGATCTTGAACGCAAGATAGAAAGTTTACAGCTAAGAAACGATCGATACTGTGTACTCGGTCTATTAAGCGAATGTCTACGCTTTTTTTGCATGATAGTTGTCTTTCCCGAGCTTCAAAGACGACTGAATAGTTCTCATGGTAGGCGACGAAGAGAGCTCATTCGCAACTTTCACGAATAGGCACATTCATATAGCATATCCTATCTGTTTCAAGAGATTACGAACATTTTGGCTGTATGAAGACGTCATTGATGGATGGCCCCAATGGCACGACTGCACATCATACTTAAAAAGAAGAACGACGACTAGGCTAGAGCAAAAGGACCGAGAGTGGGTGCAACACACTGTTTGGGACATTGTTGAAGAGTGTGGTATCTCTGTTCGAATTTGGTGTCACCTCTACGATCTCAACCGAGAGCGAAACGAACTCATTCACCCGCCAGTCACTCTCAACACTGTCGATGAACTTTTACGCCAGGCTTCACTACTTGGAAACAACGATGATTGCAACGTAGTCCATTGTCTTATACAGGCCATGCATCAATGGATTCATTCCACTCAGTACACCATCTTTTCAGACCAGTCTATTCCTAATGATTATTGGACTCGTAGATAGAGGATAATTAATCAATGGACTCATAACTTGAATAAAAGAATAAGCCCTCGTTTTCTCAGTAAAAGCAAACGTGTTTTCTTTCAGTTTCATTTTCTAGATATACTTATCCAGGAAAAACACCCAGAATGACCGCAGTCGATGACTTGTCGTCATCTAAACCATCCTCGTCATCGGTTAAGGCTGTACACCAGAAGCCCACCGTCGATTTTGTCAATTCTTCTCTGGAGATGCTTGTTGAACACGTGCGTCATGTTGAGTCGGCTGCTGACGAGCGCCGCATCCAAGCTGAACACATCGAATGCCTTCAGCTCGCATCGAGCTTGGTCAATCTCTATGCGAACACGATCATCATGCCCGTCTTGTGACTACCTACAAAGTATGTTTATAAAAACCTTCAACTTCTTTTTAGCAGCTTCTTCTCAATCAATAAACATCAGTTCTTATTCTGATTTTTTCGAAATCATTTTATTTTAGTATATAAATGGTTTAGAACAATATGATCGAGCTTTTCTTGTCTAACTGGAAAAAAACATTCTCTAAAACTTTTTTATATATTTTCACAGAGCAATCGATCCAAGTGGCAAAATGCTGACTTAGGTGTCTTTCGAGATCTTATGGAGTCAGCATTTGTTCTGAAATGATTTGTCTCGGTTGTGCAACTGGGGTGCTCTTTTTCTCAAAAGCGTGTTCATTACCTTCTTATACAAGACAATGCTTCTTGCTTTAAGGGCCCATTGAAATTCATCAACTGGTACGATGACATTCGTGGCTTGGTGCGTCTCAGCTATTTGCCGTACACGCCGTTTTCATTGCGTAAAAAGATCGATATACTACTAAAAGACATCCGACAGATTGTTTGGACAAAAGGCCGCATCAAGGCTCATCAGTGGAATACTCTCATGTTCCTAAGTGTCTCAATGAATGGTCGTGATCTATTTCATACCGACGAGAGGACGCTCGAGCGAGTCACAACCTTGGCATCGAATCGGTTCAAAGACAACGAGCGTCGTAACACAGTCCATGCGCTTGTTGGCGCCATCAAACAGCGAGTATCATCAACAATCATCAAAGCAGAAAAGTGACTCTAACAATAGAGATACAACAGTGCTCACCGTTTACGAACTGTGCGCGTGTATGTGTGAAATATACATTTGATGTTGTTGTTATCAGCATTTTTTTGTATTATTTTGGAATTATTTTATGAAATACGATTGGTATTGAGCGTTCAGGTTTAGAGCGAGAAAAATGAACCGTCAGGCTTGCCTCAAAGACTGTGACAGACATGTTGACGTTCTTTTGACTCTGTCAAAAAACCATCAAGTAGGTCACAGACTGCGACGGACACGTCGAAAAGCTATAAAAGATATCGGAAAGACAGTGTGCTTTAGAGTTGGGTAGATGGTGAAGTACTATTTGTTCGTTATTTAGCATGTTGTTTCAGGGTGGTATGTGTGTATGGGTGTGGATGTTGCTGCGGATGTGTGTCGGTGTGGATGTGATTGTGGATGCGGATCTTCTTTTAGTGCACACCCACACCCAACACCCACACCACACACACCCACTTCGATTTATGTACGTCATTTCTATAGTGGCGTATTGTGAGACCCAATTGGAGAGCTTAATATGTACGAGAAAAGCTGATGCAGGTGTGCGAAAATAAATTAAAACAAAGAATCTCTCTTTTCTTTCCTCTGCATCGCTTTCTTTTTCTCGCATATTGAAAATGAAATCAAATTGGATGTGCGAACAGATGCATGCACTAATCTCTTTTTAGTTTTCGATGCATTTATCTTTCGTTATGTGCCAAAAATGCAATTAAATTCAAGCAAGTGTCGATAATAAATAGGCTTTTGTCGTGTGCAATTGTCACATAAAAACGAAAACAACAAGACATAATGATAAACATGATTGATTCCATTTTTGCACTTGTTCTCATTTCTGTTGCTTCTCCCGCTTTGTCAGTTGGCATCTACGAGCAATGTGGTGGCGAGGGCTATACAGGTCCGACCAACTGTAATTGGCCTCTTGGATGCTTTCGCCGATCTCGTTGGTTCTCATCGTGTCAAACAAGTTGCCCGGGAACGGACTGGGAATGCTCAAGTATGGAAGGCTACTCGAGTGGCGCAGGCTTTGCAAAAGCATGGGAACAATGTGGCGGAGAAGGATGGACAGGGCCACAAATCTGCTCGCAATATTCATGTCAATGGCGCTCTCAATGGTATGCTCAATGTCGGCCTGATTGTCCTGACGAATGGCTATGTCAAGGTGATGGAAGCTCCTCGACACAAGAATCCACTCATTCATCTGTGAGTGCCACTCCTTATCCGACCACAATAGCAACAACTGTATCAAGTAGTGGTTCATGTAAATGTTGTTTCGTATTATTAAGTCCCACTTGTCAGACGCGTTCAATACAATCATGCTCAGAGTGCACTGCTGACTGGTGTGCAAAGAATATGGGATTTTGTGCTGGAAGTATACCACCTTGCTATGCAAGATGCACTGCTTGAATAGCAATACGTAACAATACATTACTGTCATCAGATGCATATTTGTACTGACTTTGAACCACTTTTTGTTGTGTTATTTCCAATTAAACACTAGTTGTTTCAATAATGCATGATGTAAGATCATAGTTGCTAGTCTCTTTGGTCTAGAACATGAATGGTATTACTTTCTTCCGAAAGCATTCTTGATATTCTTTCATACAAGTAATATATTCATCGCAAGTAAAAGATCAATTGCAGCTAATGTTATTGTTGAATTGTTCGAAGTTACATCAACGTTTTTCGTCAAGGAGACCCATAATTGTTTGTCTATCCAAAGCAACTCGAATTTTGCCTAATTATTATTAGTTAGCTTCTATTAAACGATTCGAGAAAAATGAAGAGTACCATCGGGATAATTGATTTCATTATTATGAGATATTGGATAAAATTTCCTAGGCGCCAATTAATGATGACAATCGGTCATTGTTCGAAAATCGAGAGTTAATGGCATCGATCGATCAATATTGTGGCATGTCCTACAGGACATGCATTCAAATCTTCGATTTTCTGAATATGTGACACTATCAGAAGCCATAAACAAAAGAATGGATTTTGTTTAACTGTTTCATCATTGTCAAACAAACGCCGTGACAGAATGCAATGGGCGACTCCTGGTATAATTAGATATTGTCGACAGATGCAGTCGATGCATCTGCTATATCCAAATTCATAAATGTTCTTTTGTTCATGGGATTTTTTTTTTGAGTTGTTTTTGAGTTGAATTGAGCTTCGCTCCCATTGAATTCTATTCGATTTTGAAAAAGCCGATAGGATCTTGCCCGATCCCGCAGCCGAGGATGATTGTGATGAAATAAACCAGTAGCCGCACTCTCATCCACCCACACCCTTAAAGATGTCTCTGTCACTGATAAAAAATCAGCTTGTTTGCTCGATCCGTGATGGAGATACTCAAACGTTTTTTGGTGCCATGGCTTTTGGGCCACGCTATTCCTATTTAAGCTTTTGACAAGTAATAAAATTATTAGAAGAAACGACAGAAGTTGCAGAACGGCTTGTTCGGCTAACGGTCAACCAGAGTGATTAAAGTAGAACCTAATTATTTTCAAAAGTTAATTATATCATCTTATGCAGCACACTTCGCTGTATCAGAAAACGTAGTTTATTTTGCTTTTTTTTCATAATGTAGAGAAAAGCTACACGAGAAAAAAGGCGAGTGCGTTTCTTACGATTTATCATTTTGTTTGTGCTATCGAAGAAATTGTCTTAAAAACATAGAAGAATGGTTAAAAATTGAAGTGCCTTATATATTCTGAATCCAGGAAGATTGGGCTTTCTTCTGATGTATACTAGATCTCTTTCATGATTGGTAGAAGAAAATGGACGTTACCTGAAAGCACGGCAAAATCTGTAGTGAGTGCGTTACCAAATAGGGCTTCTAGTTTATATCACGCCATAACTACAAAAGTATTCTAATGGACACTTAGGTACTTCCGCTAACTTTTGATGGGCTATCGAACAGCAGACTTGGTTTTCGTTTATCTTCTGATACTGATAAAAAAAAAGGTAACGCACTCACGCAACCTACTCATCACCATACTTTAAGTTCTGAATTTTATGTTTGATAAGACCAATTGTTTTGATGACACATGGTTTTCAATTTATTTCCCAGAGTTGTTAGCCTATAGGGATGTTAATAAGCTATTTATTTGCCTTAGTTTAGTCTGACAGTTCCTCCCTCTCCTATCCCAGATACAACCTGTTGGATTCAAAGTTCTTAAAATTCCACTATGGTTGTTTAAAGTTTCTGAGCGCGACCAATAGCCAAAGTGCACTCTTGATACTCTCAATGAAACTGTTTTATCCGCATCTGATAGCCGCTCTGAGATACTAGGCACTTCTCGATTATTTGTATTCGTCGGCCAGCATGCTTCGTATGTTTCTCAGACACTCTCGATCGTGTTATTACAGAAATCAGGTTATGATTGGGTCTTACCTATAGAGCAGCGTCTGATGGTCAGTCCTGAACCGAGATCCGGTTTCGATCAAGGGAAAATTTCTATATCCGGATCCCATGGACAAGAAGCCGTCCAACCCAAACTGAGATACAGGTCGAATGTGAGTGGAATCTGGGACCTCACCTAACCAACTGTCTTTACCCTATGTTAGTCCAAAACTGCAAGGTACATCTGTAGCCTGATCCATTAGAGCATACCAGTCCACTTCCGACCGGCTGTTGCTCTTAGTAATGATAAGTGCGTATCACATGTGTGAGTGCGTTACCAAAATCGTGAGTGCGTTACCTGCGGACAAGTCGTTTATTAGAATTGTGATCTATGGCATGGTGTGTGTGGCTATCTTTATTTGACCCACACTTTCATGATGAAACAAATCGACATGTAATCATTTATGCTGTTGTTCAACATGTGCTGAAAAAATTCAAAACCAGTGTCCTATTGGTCTTTGTCATAATGAATCTATTCAACGTATCTATTTTTTTCGTTAAAAATATTCAATTCATTATTTAAATAATGAAAATAAGTTATAATACGAGACAACATATTTTGTTTTTTTTTTGCTAAATTGACAACACTGAATAAGAACCAAATGCCTGAATATGGAATATACAGCGAAATATGATATGTAAATATAATTGATTTTAAAATGATAGAAAAAGACGAGAACTAATATAAGCCTAATTTCAAAAAAAAAGAAGAATTCTGTTAAAGTATATTGTATATTTTTTTTATGCAAGTTTTGTTCTTGGCGATGTTTTTATTAAATCTTCAACAACAGCTGGATCATTCAATGTTGACGTATCACCTAGGTTATTAATATCTGGTTCAACAATTTTACGTAAAATGCGTCGCATGATTTTTCCACTACGAGTTTTAGGTAAATTTGGTGTAAAATGTATTATATCAGGATAAACATGGGCACCAATAATATCACGTACAGTTTTAATGAGATCTTTACGAAGTGCATCTGTTTCTTCAACATCATCTTTTAATGTGACGAAACAATACATTCCTTGATTCTTTTTTGGATCAGGATAACCAACAACAGCTGCTTCAGATACACCAGCATGTTGAACAAGAGCAGATTCAACTTCAGCTGTACCAATATTGTGTCCTGATATAACAAGAACATCATCCTACAGAATAAAAAAATCATTTAACAAAAAATGTAGATTTTTTTTGTTTTTACGAACCACACGACCCGTTATCCAATGATAACCATTTTCTTTAATTTCACATCCATCACCAGAAAAATAATTACCAGGATATGGTTTAAAGTAAACATCAACAAAACGTTCATGATCACGATAAAGACTGCGTGCTTGACCAGGCCAAGAATCGCGAATACATAATTCACCTTGATTAGGTAGTTCTAATGGTTGTCGAGTTTTTTTATTGAATATTTGAGTTTGAATACCAAAAAATGGAAGTGTTGCTGAACCAGCTTCTAATTCCCAAACGTTGGGAATAGGTGTTATCATAAAACCACCAGTTTCAGTCTATGACAAAATAATATACATGTATACAGGAGTTATCAGTAATAAGACTAGCGTTAATGATGTGATACAAAAAAAAAAGAACATCGACTTTCACTTCATACATTTTAGTTCAATAAACTTCGAATTAAAGGAGAAAAAAGTTTTGAAGGTTCGATCCTGCTGAAAACTTCATCATAGATGAGTTTTATGCTATAGAGCCTATTCTGAAGCTTTCGGATTGTTTTTTAATAATATGCTGTCAAAAAAAACCATTTACCTGCCACCATGTATCAACAATAGGACATCGACCATTACCAACAACATTATAATACCATCGCCATGCTTCTGGATTAATTGGTTCACCAACTGTACCTAAAAGTCTTAATGATTGACGACTTGTTCGTGTTACAAATGCGTCATCATGTGCCATTAATGAACGAATAGCTGTTGGTGCCGTATAAAATATTTTTATTTGATGTTTATCAATAATATTCCAACAACGTGAGACATTAGGATATGTTGGAATACCTTCAAAAACTACAGTTATTGCTTGATTAGCTAATGGTCCATAAACAACATCTATTTCAAAAGTATTATTTTTAGATTTTCATTATAAAAAAGAAAACAAAAAGTCGTTTGTAATTTACATGAATGGCCTGTAATCCAGCCAACATCAGCAGTACACATATATATTTCGCCTGGATTATAAGCAAAAACATATTTAAATGTTAAACTCACATATGTTAAATAACCACCAGTTGTATGTAAAATTCCTTTTGGTTTTCCTGTTGAACCACTTGTATAAAGCTAGAATAAATAGATAATTTTATATCTATAACAATTATTATTATTATTATTATTACACATACAATAAATAATGGATCTTCTGCATTCATTTGTTCAGGTTCACAATTATCATCAACTTTTTCTAATTCTTCATGTACCCAAAAATCCCTTCCATTTGTCCATTCAAGTGAATTACGTTGTTCTGCACAATCATCTTTTAAATTTGCTAAACCATAATTTCGTTGAAAAACGAGTACAGTTTTAACACTAGTACATTGTGTCATTGTTAAAGCTTGATCAATTTTACTTTTTAATGGTATACATTTTCCACCACGTACACCAAAATCATTTGTTATAACAATTGATGCATCACAATCAGATATACGTTCGGCTACACTATTTGCACTAAAACCACCGAATACAACTGAATGTATTGCACCAATACGTGCACATGCAAGTAATGCAATACATGTATCAACTACCATAGGCATATAAATTGTAACACGGTCACCTTTTTTTATTCCATATTTTTTTAAAACATTAGCAAATTTTTTAACTCTATGTAAAAGTTCACCATATGTAACATGATGATGTGTTTCTGTTGGTGTATCTGGCTCAAATATAATAGCAATTTGGTTAGCTACATTTGGATCTTTTTCAATATGTCGATCAAGACAATTATAACAAACATTAATAACTCCATCTTCAAACCATTTTATATCAACACCACGTTCTGTACGATAATCAAATTCAGTATTTTTTATTTTAGTTGGAAAATGATACCAATTTAAACGTTCAGCTGCCATTTTCCAAAAACGATTCGGATCTTGTATTGATAATGCATATAAACTTTTATATTCATCGAATGTTTGAATTTTATCTGGTAATGACGATTTATCCCAAATAATTGTATTATTTGTAATGGAATTATTTGTTGTTGATGATGATGATGATGACGAAGCCATCTTGATTTATGAAATATGGACAGTATAATGCACAAAATGACGTCGCAAATATCTAAAAGTAAGTTATGTTTCAAATAATATTATGAAACAAAAACAAATGTAACTCATGAAAATACGTGACTTATAATGGTCTGTTAAAAAAAATGTTTTCAAACATCGTTGATTACATTCGCTCTTGAAGGTCATCAGATATTCATCGATGACATTTATTTTCACTTCAGTGCAAAAGTTACTTTTATCTGTCAGAGAGAAGAAATTCAAACTGAAGGAGTGGTGTACCATGCTTCTTATGCATCTTGACAAATAAATGCTTGCACTAATCACGACAAGAAGAAGGAAAGAAAAACCTCGTGTTACCCTAGTTTCTTTTTTCTTTTCTTCGACAGAAAAAGAATCAATGTTACGACGGTAGTTGAAAATACAAACGGTTACCAACGAAGGAGACAAAAGTGCACAATTACACTGCCGTACTATGAAACTCCAGTAAATAATACACTCTTCTATATTCTATAGTATCAGTTAAAGTCTCATTCAATCTAGACAAGTCTCTATCAAAGAAAAATAAAAAATAAAAAAACGAACATATGTTTTCGCTGTTTTGTTTTTTATATAATAATAGTTTAACTAGACAAGATGACAACGATAAAATAGAGACCTTCGAATGATACACATGTTATTTTCTGTTTTACATGCGTAACACATTGCTAGCTTACTCATATATCGTTCGTCGACTCAAATAGCGGAAAAGAAGCACAAACACTATCACGAATCATACTAATTTTCAGTTCTTCTCTCTTGCTTAGTCAAGCCCTTACAACTCATTCGATTCATTTTCTTTTTTTGCTTTCTGCGTGGAAGCTGATTTATAATGATTGCAGACTAAGGAAGGAAGAATAAATATTTCTTTTCCTTTTTTTTTTCACTAAATATTGTTGATCTTCATTTTGCTTTTGGATAGCAATGAGAAACCAAAAAGGAAATGAAAATATAACTTGCATTTTTTGTTTTTATGCAATAACAGAAAAGAAAAAACATTCAAGAAAATGATTTTACTAAATAAGATAATTGAGAAAAGTCAATATAAGTTGATGATAACATTGATAAAAAACTATTATTTGAATGTCTACACCATTGTTCATTGATATTGTCATCAATATAAAGATGATAAAGAAGAAATTTTATTATGCTAACACTCGTGATCGATTCTGTTGATGTCGGAAAAACAATTGAATGTTTTTTGCTATTAAAAAAAAATGTAATTAAAATTAACAAGCAGAAATAAAAACAAACTTCTCTGCAGGGAACAAAATTAATGTTGGATAATTGTATACTGTCAAATGCCACGGAAGATCATGTTTGTCAGCTTGAATTCTGAAAGAATAAAAATAAATATAATAGTAGTATAGTTATATCGAAATTATTTTATTTAACCTAGTAAAAATAAGATCATTGAATTTACTAAAGAATTTTTTTGTTTGATATAATATTGGCCATATTGATTGACAAAATCCACACCATTTTGTATAATAAACAACAAGTACATTCTAAAATTCATTTGAATGATTTCATAATAAAATATTATTATTATCAGTTTGTTTTACAAATGTATTACTTTATCAGTATTCAAAACAATGGAATGAAAAGTATCGGTAGTAAGTTCAATAAATCTATTGGAATGTTCTGTGCTTATATTATTAATTGGACTTGTAGCTAATGAACGAGATTGTAAATTATGCGATACATTATAAATGAGATTATCTGAAATAAAAAAAAAAATATATGATTATTAAAAGATCTTTATTTTTATATTTAAACTTACATACAGATATTTTCAATTGTGATTTCATTATTATTTAAAATATAATGTTGTTCATTCTAATAAAATAAAAAAAAAACAATACTTTTATTAAAAGAATGTTTTATTCGAGATTTTTTGCTGGATTTATACTATTATAGGAAATTCTCTGAATGTCACTGCTTTTGACGCATATACTTTGAGAAAAATACGACTCAAATATGCTTCATTAGATTCATGAAAAAAACAAAAGAAAATGAATGTCAGTACTTGACTGAAGAGAATTATTGTTTGATATAAGTAGTACGACTTAACAATCACTCGTTTTTTTGCATCCATACTATGTTTTAATTAAATAGGATGGAAAGATTCATAAATAATCCAAGCGTAAAACACAATAAGATAGTCTTTTTTTCTCTTCTTTTATTTATTTATAGAGAATTTCAATTGATTAGTATTTCGAAAGATTTTTTTTTTTGATAACAGAAATGGTTCTTGTCATTTTCTTTTTATGATAAGAAACAACAAAAGAGAGATAACAATATCCAGGGAATTATTATTCAAACATGTCATATATTTATATCGACATAGATTTAAATAAATAATGATAAGCGATACATTTCTTGAAGTGAAAGTCAAATCTGTTTCATACATCCCTCTCTGCAATAGAAGACTTCATGCATTGAACTTAATAGAAAACTCGTTTTTTTTTTAAATTAACTTCTCATAAATCCAAACTCTAATTAGTATATTCACATCAAATTATACTTAGCTTTTAAGATCCGAAAAATCTTTTCTATAATCTGTAATGTCGTTTTGTTTGGTTGAAAAACTCTTTTGTATAAAAATTATGTAAATAAATGCGACACAATACAAGATTCCTACGGCGGAAAAAATATTCTACTCGTGAATATAATAGAAAAACTCAGCATCTTCTATTCCGGGAAGGCATTTGCATAAGAATATCTCTTTTATTCAAAAATTAATTGTGTTATTAGTTATTATTGAAGAAAAAAAGCATGTACTTTAACCCTTTGAGTCCCATAGTAGCAAAAAAGCTACACATGTTTCATAATCATTTCTCACAATATAATCTATAAAAATTAGTCCCTAATGCCTTGGAATGAAGTAATAAAGAATGCTCTAGAATCCTCTCCAACTATCTGTAAAGGAAATATATAGTTGTTTATATGTTTCTGTCTAAAATGAGCTAATCTAACAGTCTTCTTGAATTGAATCCAGCAGAAATAATTTGGGACTCAAAGGGTTAAATCTATCTGTGAAAACGTTGAATTACTCATCGTCCTAACACAAAGTAATCAATCATCTTCGACTTAATTTAAACGAATTTCTGAGAAAAATCTTTCTCAATATCAAAAGTATTCAACTACTTCTGATAAGTACAACGACTAATTTACGATCAGGAGCAACTTTCAATGACTGATCCAACAGTATGCTCATCTCTCTCTCTTCCTTACTAAAGTTTGTTAGATAGTCAGAATGTCATTAACAAACGTATATATATATCGTGCTGAAGTTATTTTACATGAAGTAAAATATTCAAAATTAATTTATTGGCAAATATATTATGAAAAAATATTATCTAAATAAAAAGTGACAACATGAAAATTAGAGGTGCATTTGTATGAAAATTTGTGGCATGTTATTTTACTGTTATCTTTTTTAAGTTCATGTCATGATGACATCTATTAGTGTACAATTTCACAATTAAAATTATTTTTTCTTCTTCAAGTAATTTTCGTCTTTTTTTTGAAAATCTGACAAACTATCAGTGAAGTTGTATATATCTATTTTAAAGTATTTATTCGTAGACAATCGAAGAATCACGTTTTATATAAAATAAATTTATGATTTTCGCAATATAGAAAACTTTGGCGTAGATAGAGTTCATTTTATGCATATTTTATTTTCTTGCGCATGATTAATGACATGCAAGATTTCTAAAAACATCGGACACGTACGACCTTTTCTGAAAAAGTTAAAAGCATCACAAAAATCGAAAAAAAAAGCGTTTTTTAGTCAATATTTGTAGTGCTTATAGCTTTTCTCCTTATTTTGTTCTCTTTAAAATAGCATTGTTAAAAAAATACCCTTTGAGATCTGAAAATTACCGTGCCTAATGTTTTCGAAACCTTGCCATCATAGTTCATCGAGTATAGAATGCATTAGAAAGAAAACTCCAATAGCTGTTAAAATCCATATGTGGGTTTGAGCAGGGTGCTTAATATTACAGAAAACAGAATAAAAAACACGTTGTTATTAAAATTTTCCCACCATCGTATATTTTCATAACGTTATTGTTAATGTATGAATTTAAAAAAATTTTTTTTTAATATAGAATAAATACAGCACGACATATATGAAGGGTAAACTATTGAGAAAAAAGATCTGTAGTCAAGTTATTGTTTTCCCGTGACTGATGTGTAATCAATGATATGTCTTACTTTGGTTTGTAATACAATAATAGCTCTTGAATTATTCATAATACCAATATTTCGTCCAAAATTTGGATAATATTTTGAATCAATTAATCGAAATGCCCATGTTGAATTAATTTGACATAATAATCCTTTAAATTTCTCAATTGAATTATTATTATCAATAAAAAATTGATTTTCTATTTCAATAGATTGATCATAGAATTTATCTTGTCGTTTTTGTAAAATAGTCCTGTGATTTGAATGTAATTTTTGTTGATATATTGATGCATATGTTTTTAACCATTGATGACAATAATCTCGATAACAAATTTTTTGTAATTGAATATTATTTAATATAGGTAAACATGCTTTTGTTGTTGTTTCAGAAAAGTTAAATAATGGTAGTTGTTGATTTAATAAACATAGATGATATATATCAGTTGAAGATATTTGATTTAAGATATGTTGACAGCATGATGAAAGAAGATCATGTTGTGTTTTACTGATATTCTTGTTTAGATCGATTAATGATTGATTATATAGTTTTTCAATTTGTCTTAACCAAAAAGAAGAATGAGTTGTGTTACAAATAGAAAGATAGAAATAAACATATCGCAACTAAAAATAAATAATAAAGAAAACTATTATATACTATATTCAATAAATAGCATTTAGATTTTATAAGACATCAGTGTGACTAGTTGATTTTTGCTCCTAACATTAACAAAAAATAGTTTTGCAATCAAGATTAATTTACGAATGTCTTCGGTTTAAACGAGTGGTTTTCGAAAGTTATATAATCATTTCTTAATATTATTTGAAATAAAACATCTATGACAATAATAAGATGAACACTTTATACACATAATTGAATTTTTTTATTTTATCTATTTAAGCGTACTCTTTGCTTTATTATACTGTCCTTGAAAATTATTGTCAAAATAATGATATTTTATCAATGATGTGTTGTCTCATGTGATTTCATAATAACAATTCTACAGATTAGAAATTGAATTAAATTCAGATTGATAATTATTTTTAATTAAATTACTATGCATAATGTCATTGGTTCGGTCGCATTCGATAATCTCTCAGCTTAGTCCTAATATTATTAAATATAATGATTCATAACTATATTTAACATACAAGTGAATAACAAGAAAACTACAAAAGTTATCAGCATCTATATCATATTAAGGTACATTATATAAATAATGAAAAACATCTAACGATTTGTTACATTACAACGTGTAGTTGTAAATTGCATGCCAACTATTGTTCATTTTTTGTATTCAATATGTGTCTTAATAATGATCACTAATATGTCATTTTGTTGAAGCTCGGATTCCTATACGGGTTCCATTCAACCAATGATCATTCGAGAAACAAATTCTTTAACTGACTAAACAAGTGCGTTTTAATCTGATGAATCATGACTGGAATGAGAGATCATCGAATAGGATCGAGCTGAAGACTACCTCAGTGACTGAATGGAGACGCACTGCTCTCTATGCTGAATATACGAGATTCTCTAAAATATACACTTTGATTTTTTTCTACATAAAGTTTTTTTTACCTTTAACTCATCTAATTTGCTTGAAGTATGAAAGATAAGAAGATTATCATGGTTTGTCAATGCATCGAATACAGTTGCTTTATCAATTGATGGACTTCGAGAATAATAACGATTTTTTGGAACAATCCAACCGACATATGGTTGTTTCTACCAATCATAAATATTTAAATTTTCGTATGAAAAATTAAATGCTTAACTTACAGGTTCATTAACAATCCATTGAAAAAGATTTTCGATTGTAAAATTATTTGTTAGGTTTGGAAATATCTTTTATTATGAATTTTGAATAAAAATAAATATCGAACAAAGAAAAGTAAAAATTTTTTTTTGCTTTCTAACCTGTGGTGTTGAATTTAATCGATTTAAAATAACAAATGACTTTGGAAAAGTAGTATTAGATAAATTAGATAATTCTTCAACAACGGTTTGATTAAGAATAACAGCAAAACGGATTGGATGTTCATTATCTATTACAGTAAAATAAAAACTCCATAACGAATGACTTAAAAGTTTTTAAACAAGAGTTTTGTACACTTTTGATCCACTAGGAACTATTCAAAAGCTATGAGCTAGAACCCAAATGTTATGCTTATTGTTGAAAGATCTGATAAATTATTTTTAATAGCAAACCAACAATTCTTAATTAATGTGATAATGAACTAACTATAAAAAAAATTAATCCAAGTTTTTGTGGAGTTTTCATTAGAACATTATTTAGTATCTATAAGCAAAAAAATCATTGAAACTTGTTAGTTCAATATCACCGACTCTGACTAAAAAACACTTCATTAATCATGAGTGGGACCTGTTGTTGTTAATCTCGGTCCTAGTTTCACGTTTGGTAATAGATGTCCTAGCGAAAAATGTCATATCTGTTACTAATCGTGTCAATGAGCTCGAGATATCTTGCATGACCGCTAATATCATTCGTCTTGAAGACTCATTACATTCTTTAATACACTAATATCTCGTCTATTCTATATGTTTATGAGTTCGAAAGCTCTGTCGTTTATGAAAAAAGAACTAATTTTACTATCGAAACTGTAACAACAAATATTGAGGTAATTGTTACTCAATAACTTTCATATAGCCTTTTAGAAGACATAAGTTATGAGAATATGATATTTGATGCAAATTTCACACGAACATAACAGATATTTTCTAGTGAGTCAAAAGTGAACAAACAATTTGTCTAAAAATTTTTCGATCATTCGTTATTAAACAAAATCAATCATATACCATATTCAATATGTTTAAGAGCTGCTTGAACAAAAAATGAATAATATTGTCTTTGTAAATTATTAGAAAAATCAAAATGAGCTAAAACATTGGACTAAAAACACAGTCAAATTAAATATTTTCAATATCAAATCATTTTCTATTACTTCATGTTGAACAATAAAATCAAAAAATTCATCTACATTTGTTAGTCTTATTATAGGCATTCGAATTTTTTCAATAAATTCAATAAGATTTGATGTTATAGTTGGTCCAAAATATTGATAACCTCGTGTACCTTTTACATATAAATACATATGAGGATAATAATCAAGTTTATAAGATTTTCGACATTGACCAGCATGGTAAAAACAATCAACTGCAACAAATTTAACCTTAACAGAGACAAAATAAAAATTTATTCAATATTATTTAATTATAAACTTACATGAAATTTATCTAATGTAATATTACCATGTGGAATACGTTCTCGATAGAAAGCAGCTGCTTTCTCAAATGGTTCACGCATTCGTCGACTAATACCACAGAAATCTATTTAAGAAAAGAAAACATAACACAATCAAATGAATTGCAATATGATGAATAAAACTTAATTTGAAAAACATAAAATCTATGATACAAAAAAAAAATAGTCGTAAGTAGTATTCGAATAGTTTGAAATTTTTGGTGAATGGAGATTTGTGTGATAAATAGGTCAAGTTTTTGTCGAATGCAATTCTATTGGGTAAAGCCTTATCATTTTCGAAATTAAGTCAAACTCATATTATATTGATGATGTAAATTTTAATTGTTTTCTAAACCGTTTCAAGTTTAACGTAATAAAAGCAATTAGCTTTTCTAAAAGTCTTACAAGAGAAGATCCCCAAGTTTGACATGTCATTTTAGATCGGATATATGCTAGTTTCTAGAGCTTGAAAAGGCTAGAAGAAGCCAAAAGCTTCTTTTGCCTCTAACAATGTATAGAAGAATAAGTGGAATCACGAAATTTCATCAATAAATAGTTCTCATGATCGTTAGAATATTCTAAAGATTTCAGCTCAAATAGATGCTTCGTTCTTAAGAGATTGGATATCTAAAAAACAATCATATTTCATAAGGACAAGTTCACAAAGCGAGCGTCTTCAACATTCGATATTTCAATAAGAAAAGATTTCTTGTAAGCTGAAAGTATCAGGAAATTCAAACAATCATAAGAGCCATTTCAAATGACAATTTTGGTACTTCAATTATTTCACGGATGCCTTAACAGAGACCAAAAACTGGGTAAAAATGTCTCTAACTCGACAATAATAGAGTATGGAAACGAACCCTTTTACGTTTCTTCTAGCTTCATCAAGCTCTACAAACTAATAAATATTCAATTCAAAACAACACATGATACTTGCAGATTTTCCCTCGTTAGAAAAATGTTGATAACTCAACTAATAATAGCATTCTCTTCGATATTCTCTTGAGGGTATCACCTCAATTGTATTATCGAGTCCAGATTCAATTCTATGAAGACTACAGCTAGGAGCTAGAAAATCAATACAAAATTAAATTATAACATTTACGTTGATAGTTTGTCTATAAATAGGGTCTATGACGCTAACGTTGCGTACTAGAATTATTACTTTGGTTTTTCTTTGTCAAGATTCAAACTTAATATTTTACTAGCTAATCTTCTATTTTCTTATACCGTCAGATAAAGAACGACCTAGTTGGACATAAAATGGATCTAAGGAGACAACCATTCCAGCTGATCAGTCGCCTTCTCACCAAAAGCTAGTGGATTGAAAGCCATCGACTATGTTGATATAGAATATGAACATGTGAAATCTCCTCTAGGTCTTCGTTTACTGTTTTTTTTAGACTAACACAGTTTTCATCAAAATCTTCTTTTTGTTGACCCGTCTAAATTATAAAATATATCAAATTGCTCAGGAAACTAGTTTTTTGTGTTTGAAACGATTTTTTAGTGTAGAAAATTTAGTCATTTTATTTCAAACTCATTTTTGAAAAACAGAAAGAATTGATTTCTCACAAACAATTCGATTTGCCGTATAGTCTGAGTAGATCCAAAACTTCTTCTGAACATATTCGGAATTAGTATTAATTCGATAGCTTTTGATGAGAAAGTGATTGATCAATTAAAAACATTCCCTTGTAAATAGTACAAGATCTGCTGATAAATAGTCATCTATAATCTATCACGATGTTGTTTACAAAGAGATGAATATCATTGGGCATTCTTCAATTTATTTACCGCTAGTAGAGTAGATGCAAAAAAGTGTAACGAAGATTGAATAAAGATTATGATCCTATAGTGTTGCACAATGGTGTTATTAGTAGTTTGATTATTTTTCATCATACATATTATGCTGTTATTTACTCATACAATACATACGTGCATAGTACATAACAAAAACAAATGTATGAGAATTGATTGTTTGAAAAACAGGTGCCAAATTTCCATCAAAATAGTCATTAATAAGATTTTTTGTTGAAATAAAAAATGGACGTGCTTCTTTGTATGTTCCAGTATCCGAAGAAAAAAGTCTTTTAAACACATATAAAAGAAATAAAAAAGAACAGTTTATTTTATCGATTATTATTATTATTATTATTCTTAACCTACCGAAAAGTTTCACTGGATTCTGTTAATAATAATAAGAAGAAGAATAAAATAATCACATTATTGCACATTCTATTTTCAATCAAGAATAAAAAAAAACAGAAAAAAGATACAAAAAATATTCAATCACATAGTTTCTAATATTTCTTCTTTTCAAAAAAAAAAAAATCAAATATAATAAAAAAAAAACACAAAATTAAATATATCAAGATTTTGAATAAGTTTTTATTAAATCTCGTGCAGCTTGTAAATCTAAATGGATAAATAAGAAATATTTTCTTCTTCTCAAATAAAAATTTTACCAGCTAATAAAACAGCAAATTGTTCTGGATTCATGGAAAATGAAATTGATTTCGATTGATTCTCTATATTATCATTATAATTTAAATTCATTGTTACAACAGGTAAATGCATATCATGTAAATTATTAGTTGTTTGTATATCAAATAAATTCCATTGAATATCATTCATTTTCGTCACTACAAAATAAAACAAAAAAAACACAAAAGTTTAATATAATCTATACTGCAAAATATTCATTTTACTTAAAGAAAACTGACTAGAATCTCAATATTTCGCTCTTTCCGAATATGGGTTTAACATTTCCTTTACGTTGTACAAAATACTATTTTGTAGTCCGATTGAAATCTGCGAAATTGTTGCTAATGGCTTAGTTTTATACAGCAAACTTTACCGTACCAAGCATTCTATTTACTTTTCTAACAGATTTTTAAAAGTAGTTTTTCAATCCGCAATATTTTATCATAGAAACTAGCTCTTTAGTAAAAACAAGAGATATGTGAAACCCCGAGCAAAACATATCATTCTAAACGGAACTAAAGATTATAGTTGAAGAAAAATGATCCAAAAAGGATTGGCTAAAGAAATCAACAAACACGTATTGAAGAATTTTTTTAACATGTAATTTGCATAAATACCAAAATAACTTTCTGTAGATTGGTACTAAATCAAAACTCCAATAAGGTTTGGACTACAAAATGAAATATGTGTCAGCTTGTATGGTAATACTTCCTTTATCTAAAAATGCATCAATTATCAAGTTCTACTACATACTGTTGACATGTCGACATGTGACATCACTATGCGGTAGAATATGATAAAATGAATATTAATAGAGGAAGTCTCTCTCCAGAAGTCTACATATATCCTGTTCTGTAATCAAAAATAATCGAAAAACTTGTAGCCGCCTTTACCAAGACCGAGATCAAAAGAATTGAATGTAGAAAAGATATTAAAATGAAAACTTACACCGCATAACAGATGATCGTAATTTATCGATTAATTTTTCAAAATTTTCATCATATACTTTCACTAAAGCATTGGCATGTTCTTAAAAAATACAAACAAAACTAAATATTGAAATGAATATTATTAAAAACCTTTAGGAAGACCAAGTTGTATAAGTTCATTTAATAATGATTGCCCATCAACGGAATGTTTTGCTGACATAGTAAGAATATATTGCAAAGCACGTATCGATGCTTTCAAATCACCACTTTCTAATTTTAATAATCATACAAAATTATCACAAAAAGAAAGTTTTAATATTCCTACCAAATTTATCGCCAACTAATTTTTGAGCTTCACTGAACTAAAAAAAAAAGCACGAAAAAAAAACAAATGATGAAAATTAAAATCTAATTTCAAATTTTACATTTAAATTATCTGTTAAAATTGCTTGCATTACTTGTTGACATAATAATTTTAATTTAACTGAACTCTAAAAAAAAAAGCAAAAAATCCCTACGATTTAGTAAAAATATATAAAAATAACTTTACTAATTTTGATAATGTAAATATTTCTGCCAATATCCAATCAGCACAATCTTCACCACCACAAAAACGAAATCGCTAAAAAATTTAGTGAATCAAATAAAATCTCTTTCGATATACCGAAAAATATTTTGTCTTTTAATGCAATTCATTCGTCTTATTCTAAACTTCTATGATCTAAACTGCTGCCGAACAGAAGAATGCTCGCGAATTATTGAATGAATTCAGATATTATTACTTTTTAATCGAGATTATATCTAGTTATTAGAATTAAAAACTGAAAATCAATGAAGACTAAAGCTACAATGATATCTGCATTTTAATAGACGCTGTTGGAAGTTTTTTTTTTATTTACTTGAAATTAAAAATAAGAAATCTAACAACCAACTCGTTGCCTTTTATAAGAAAAGCAAGAGTCATTGTGCAAATATAATATAAATAGTTATAGACGTTTATTTTATTTCTGTTCATAAGAAAGACATGTTCATATCATAAAGAATTCTATTTCATTGATCATAATGTAATTACTTTTTTCTACTCTATTAACTTCTGAAATATTTTCCTTTTGTTCCTCTGTGTTGCTTTATATGTCTATATGCTACTCTAAACTACATCAATATAACTACCACCTAAAAGCAACCATTCATTTTGAGAAGCTGAGAATGAATCATATTCATCTTTGGTGACACTAGAACGGATACTTATAGATGAAGGACTTTGTGGATAATTTTCTGTAAGATATACTTACGTAAAACACTCAGGTTTTTCTTTTATTTCAATGTGGAAATGTTACTTTGAGTTAACTAATGCCCTTTTCTAATGATTAAAATATGAGAAAATACTGTCAATTACATATAGTGCATAGTAAAATAGCTGACTATTTTAGCAAAAGAGAAAAATAAAAGTTGTTCAAAAGAAAATAATTCTAGTGTTACCGTTTTTAGTCGTACGAGAAATAGATTGCTAAAAGTACAAAAAAAGCTATTCTTATTCTGCAGATTGTTATAAAGGGTGACTCATAAATAAAACTACGATAAAAAGAATAGAAAAATCTTCTCTTCGGTGATTTCATAGCTTTTGTTTCGTATGAATAGTATAAAAAAATACTCATCTTAAACAGAATTGAGCAAGTTCGAGTATGTATTCGTGCTCGAGATTTTAGACAATAGAGATTCTCTTCTATGATAATTTAAGGCTGGAGACACGCATACGCAAAAATAATTAATTAACATATTCAATGCTAGCATTTCCGTGAAAATTTCAGTGAAGTAAATACACATGTAAAGCCACTCATAAGGGCTTAATTATCTTCTTAACACGTATGAATAGTTAAAAATGTTCGCTTCCAATCACTGATTGGGCTTAAAAATTATAAATAAAGTTATCTTAATCTAGCTTAGTTCGCTAAAATTTTCATATGAATATTATGTCTATTTTATCAAACATGATTTAATGATTATCACGGTTGAGGCTGTAAAGCATGGGCTTCTTCTAGATTTTTCGAGTTTCTTAAATTATTCATGACATTGATATTCAATAGTTTTCGTATGATGTCTAAAATATTCTTGAGCAACTTTTTTTGAAGACTTTAAAACTTAAATATGGCGGTATGTTTTTGTGTTAAATTTTCCATACTGAAAGTTACATTTCTGGAAATATTCATTGATACATCTATTTGTCTAGAAATTCAGAAATGTATCCGAACATCAAACATAATTTTCAGTTGTTACCCACGAAAACAAAACGAAGAAATCAAAACAAGCTTTATGAATGATATGAGAGTGATATGCTTACAGGAAATTTTCAGGATTAGTTAGGTTTAAAGTCAACGGTTGTAATATTTTGAATTTTTAAATAAGGCTAAGGATGTGCTTTGTTGGTGTATATATTAAAATGCTGGCAGTATAAGTCACCGACATAGAGTGCTCTCCGATCATGGAACCTTAGTTTTTGCAAGAAAGTTGGCGATTTAATGGCTAATAGGTTTCATTTGTGCGTTTTATTTATTGAAGAGGAATTTCAACATTTAAAATGACTAATTCTGAAAAAATTTATTCTATATACATCTGTGTAATAACATTCGTAAAGTTCATTCTGATTTTTTCTATTTATTTTCTTCGGTGACGACTGAAAAATTATCTATAAGTGTCATGCATACACTTTTCTTATTTGGCAATAGCTCAAATTTCTTTACTGAAGTCAACATTCGTGCATAACAGTAGTATTTGTTGATATTATTTGTATGACAAAAAAATTCTGTCATAAAATGAAAAAATCAGCCCATTGTAATGAATCAAAGCAAATTTATTTTAGTTTTTCTAGTATAGTGTTATTCATAGTCCATTCTGTATATCTAATTCATAAATGAAACTGATTGATTGATTGTATTTTGTATCAAGAAAAAATATGATTCCTATAATAAAAGAACCTACACTAAAAAATTAATCAGGTTTTATCACAAAACAAATACGAACGATTTGTGATACAAAAGTTCAGAAAAATGCTCTCTACGAACCTTTTGAATCGCTTGATTTTCGTTAATGTCATAATATAATTATATTCTTTTCTTTATATCTATCATTTTTATCGAGAAAAATCTTAAGTCGGAGAAGATGAATGCCGTGTAGCTATATAATAGCTTAATAACTGACATCAATCAAAATAATGAGCTAATAATCAAATCAATCAATTGACATTGAATTATTACATACGACACATTTCTTATTTTATGAAAAGTTATTATAAAAAGAAGTTGTTTTCAATTTTTATTTATACTTACCATATTTAACTTTAATCTAAATCTAAAATAACAAATAAATAAGCTCAAAAATATATTTATTCTTTCTTTTTGTCATCATATTCAATCGGATGTTTATTTATTTGTTATGAAATATAATTCAACAGAAAATGAAAACAAACTAATGATGACATCAAATGACAACTAAAACAATTTCTTTTGTTTTGCTTTATTTTTATTTTTAAAATTCAATAGTTGTCATTCAAGAAAATTTCGTTCTTTTTTTTTCTCTTTTTTTTTTATGCTTTTGATTCCGATAATCGTGATGATGAACGACGTTTTGATTCACTACGTTTACGTTCACGTTTTTCTTTAGCATATTGTTGAAGTAATTTAGCAAATCTAACAAAAACAAAATAAATAATGAATTAAATCTAAATAAAATAATTTACTCATTTTGAAGAACACGTTGTTTTTCAGCTCGTCGTTTTTTCAATGATAACATATGTCTTTTACGTTGAATACGTCGTGGTGTAATTAAACGTTGAATTTTCGGTGCTTTAACACGTGGTTTTTTACTTTCTTTTGTTAATGGTCTTTTAACAACATATTTTCTAACATCATCTTCTTTACTTAAATTAAATAATTTACGAATATGATTTGCACGTTTTGGTCCAAGACGTCGTGGAATTGTTTTATTTGTTAAACCATCAATATCTTGTTCACCACGTTTAGTTATAACACATGCTAATACTGATAAATTTCCATCAACAATACAACCACGAACAGATTTACGTTTACGTTCACCTTTTCGTCGTTGACGATAACATTTATGACGTTTATCAAGTAATAAACGTACACGTTGATTTGTTAAAACACCTTGCATCATTGGAAAACCTTGTTTGTCATTTCCACCTGTTATACGTAATGTATAACCTTTCCATTCATTACCTAAACAAGCAGCATCAACTTCTTGAGCAATGCGTTTTTCCATGAATGGCCGTAGTTTACGATCATCATCAATATCGATTAATTTTTGACAACCTGTTACTGGATAAGCAATGTTAAGCTTCATGATTGTATATCTATAAATATGTAAAAAAAAAAAGAGAAATAGAAATTTATTTAGTTTTAAATAAACTCGAAGACAATAAAATGAATGTATAAGAAGACGAATAAGAAAACAAAACCTTCGATAAACTATGAAACCAATCATATATTTCAATGATATAATAAGAAGAGAGGACTGGCTGAAGGTATGAGTTTAGTTTAGATGTCGCATATAGTCATTAATGAAAATGTCGAACGAATGGAAAAATGTTGATATAAGTATTTTTTAGTATGCATAGAATATTTGCTACTTTGTTTTCTGAAGGTAAAAAAATAATGTTTTTTTGTTTTTAAAATAAAATTAAAATTTTTTTTTAATGATCTAGAACCATTAGTATTTCCAGAACAAGATGAAGAACATGTTGAAAAAAAGAATGAGGACCAAGTAAAATAGTAAATTTTTAATTTTTTTTTCTTTTAAAAATTTAATTTCTTGTTTTTTTTTTGGATTTAGCTCGAAGCATTACAAGATCTTCATGCTTCATATGCTCAACCGATAAAATGTTCACATCAAACGAATTCAAAAAAGTTTTCTGGTATGAAAAATTCTATATCGATTTTAAAACAAGTAAAAAAAAAAAAGAAATAAATATATTTTTGAATTTATTTTTCGCTTATTAAAAAAAATTTAGCGTGAAATTGGTTTAATTAATTTTCATCGATATCCTGAAGCACGATATCGTTTAATGAATAGGTATTTATATTGTAAATGATTGATATTTTTCTCTTTGTTTATTCGTTTTTCGGATTATTGCCTGAACAAGGCGAAGTAGTCGCTTCTATGACAAAACCAACATTTTGTGGTCAATTTTCCGATGATGGACAACGTTTTATCAGTGCTTGTCAAGGTTGTTGAATGAAGATAATTTAATGTTGGAATGAATGATTCCTTTTTTTTTGTTAGATTACTGTATTCGTCTTTATGATACATCCTCATCACGAACATTTAATCGACTAGCAGAAATTGAACTTGATGATGTCGGTTGGTCTGTATTGGATACAGCTTTATCACCTGATCGAAATAGTGTTGCTTATTCAACATGGTCACATAACAGTAAGTTTCAATTAGACCAAAAGAAACAATATTATAAACTTTTTCTTTTGTTTAGTTTACTTGGTAAAATTAGATGAAAATCAATGTCCACCAAATATTATACCATTATATTTACAACCTCATGCAAATAATTTTTCAGTATTTTCTTTACAATATTCTGTTGATGGTAAAGAAATAATTTGTGGTGCAAATGATACATGTGTATATATATTTGATCTTCAAAAACAAAAACGAACACTACGTGTAAATATTTAAAAAAAAAAGAGAAAAAAAAATCAATTAAAATATCTCTCAAAAATAGGTTTTAGCTCATCAAAATGATGTTAATGCTGTTCGTTTTATTGATAATTCAAATTCTTTAGTTGTTAGTGGTTCTGATGATGGTCTTGTTTTAGTTTGGGATAGACGAGCATTAAATGAATCTCAACCTAAACCAGTTGGAATATTTGCTGGCCATACAAGTGGAATAACTTTTGTACATAGTCGTGTAAGAATTTATTGAAATGTTTTCTTTAGTTGAAAATTCTTTTACTTTTACTATTTAATTAGATGGATTCAAGATATTTAATATCGAATTCTAAAGATCAAACTATTAAATTATGGGATATGCGTCGTTTTGCTAATAATGTAACAATACAAAAAAGTCGTACTGTATCAAATGCCATTAATCGTGTTTGGGATTATCGAGCTGGTGTACAACCACAAACACGTAAGAAAAAAACAATCAAAAATATGATTTATTTACTTAATCAAATAACATTATTTTTTAAGTTCAAAGACATGATATAACAGGTGATCCAAGTGTATGCACATATCGTGGACATTCTATTGGTTATACACTTATACGTTGTTATTTTTCACCATCATTTACAACAGGACAACGATATATTATTACTGGATCATCTGATGGTTGTATATATAGTTAGTAAATTTTTTTTATGATACATAGAGATGAATCTTTTGAATTTGTATTTTGTTTTGTATAGTCTATGATGTTCTTACCGGTGCTATTGAACGATGTCTTCGTATACGAAATAATCAATATGGTGCAGGAAGAGATAAATGTGTACGAGATGTAGCTTGGCATCCTTTTGAAAATTATATTATATCAACATCAGTGAGTTTTCTTAATGCTTTCTTCATTTGAATACTAATCTATTTTGTGGCTATATTCGCTCATTTTTCAGCAACTAAAAGACAACGGGTTAAGGTTAAAATTAGGATTTTTTTTGCTTTTCCCAAATATATAGTAGCCGACAAACAAAAACTTCATCTTAAAGGAGAATCTCGGCCATTATAAATGATGGAGGTCTGACAATTTTTGAGAACGTACTCGGTTAAGAGTTGAAGTCAAACAACTCTGCTTCGATTGCTTTAGTACAAAGATAACTATGATGGATCACACTTATGTTTGTTTTAAGATTTTTCAACTTGAAAAGGACTGTCTAATCAATGTTACGCTAGTTTTTACCAAATACATAATTAATCATTGATGTTTTCGTGTGGGTGTGGAATTCTTTACCTCAAAGATGAGTTTATTAGTTCGGATATTGGCGTCTTTGAAACCTTCGCCTTACCAGTACGGTAGCTATAACTGTACCATTTGCCATTACTACGTAGTTTCTTTATGAAATTTCTAGGCACTACTATTCAATTGTAGAAGTAGGTTTTATAAGAGCGTGGGCTTCGTTCACTATATTACTATTGTGTTCTTGTCTTAACGTGGTACCAGATTATTTTTCTCTGTATCAACCGTCACACTGATAGAGACGATTAAAGGACTTGAAGGGCGTTATAAGGTTCAAAGGCAATATAATAGATACCATCCCTCATAATCCTCTTTGTATTTCAGCCATTGACGGAGAATTGTGTATGCGACCTACACTTTAAACGAAGTATATGCATACAGTCTTTTTCAGTCATTCAGCATCTAGAATGAGTTCGATCCTCTCAGGCAAACACTTTTGTTCACTACTATATGCTCAAACGCTTTTTCTAGACTAAGATTGAACAATTATGAAGTAAATTTTGTGAAAAAGTTCAAAACTGTATTTTTACAAAGCTAAATAGTCACTTTAGCGTAGTCCTCACTTTGTTTTTGTGTCAAATCCATCTTTGTTTGGGGAGCGTTTCAACTTGTCACGATTTTTGTTTTCTGGCTTTCGTAACGAATTGACAGTACGAAAGCCCGTAACAGAGCTTTCGTAACGGCAGAATCAGACCTTTCGTAACAAAATTTCATGGGTTTCGTAACGAATTTTACAGGGTGATCGTAACTAGTGGTTTGATATGTGCTATTTTAGAAAATAATGCCATCAATGACAGACCTTTCGTAAAGAATTTTTCAGGGTTATCGTAACTTCTCATTCAGGGCTATCGTAATGCACTTAGCTTAAAAGTACGAGTGACAATACAGGGCTGTCGTAACGAAAAGTACAGGGCTATCGTAACCGTTAGGGTGTGGGTGTGGGTGTGATTGTTGGTGTCATTTTCTTTTTGTAGATATCCACACCCACACCCACACCCACATCCACCCACACCCTTGCTTGATTAAGTAAAGCAAGCAAAATAAGTTGAAAATCTTAATCTTCAACAAATCTTTTCTTCTTATTTCGAGACCAGACGATTGGTTACG